AAATAGTCAATAAATAACGAGAAAGGCTGGTAGATAAGAGAGAGATTTTTGTCGCAGACCGAATCCAAAAACTAGCGCGGGAACAAACTAGAATTGACAGATGTTTGGATTTTCGCGGAATCGAAAGGGCAGCGCATTTCCCGCTTTTCCGTACGTAGCGATTAGAGTTTGACTTTTCCACCGAAACACTGGTAAATGCAGCCGTAAAACCAAACCATTTTTCGAAAACCGCCGTCGTTTACCGTAGGAAAATGTGGGTTTTTGTTCTCTAATTACCGGCGTCGAATACTTGGAAAATAAAAGAAAATGGCGACAGAAACGGTCCTTAATTGCAACCTTATCCCTAATTAACGGTTAAGCCATCGAAGATTTCGACGTAATCCGTCAACGAATAAATTAACCGATTCTGATTTGTACGAAATTATTCAAAAGTATTTAGAAATTAGTAAAACCAATTAATTTTCCCATTATTTTCGGACCTTATCGCGCAAATTCGTACTTAATTAGAAAGGTGAACGTAAAAAAGAACATTTTATAAAATCCATATTTTTATAACAAAAACTAAACGGGACTAAATAATTTATAATACCGTCTCGAGCTTTATTCGAATGAAATAAGTAACTTTTAAATAAATTGAAATTTATATTTGCGCGCTTTATCGATTAATATGGAAGATTTCTTTACTTTTTCTTCGAATAGAAAAGTAAATATTTTGTAAATATAAGTCGATATTTATAAATCGATAGTGACGGAAGGCGAAATATAAACTACGTCGGAGATTCCGTAAGTGTTATTACATTCGTATACTGTTTACGAGTGCGAGTGCGTGTACTGTACTGTACAGTACAGTACGTGACGAAATTTTTTTCTTTCGTCTTATTTCGAAATAGTTAGCTTCCGATACGTCGTTAAAAATAACAAAATAGAACTCGATATTAAATGAATATATTCTTACAATTTTCTGAAGAAAATTAATATAATTAAATTCCTATATTTCTGTACGTAAAGTTCGGATAAATTACAGTATAAGGAATTTATAAGGAGCCGAAAGAAATTAAAAAAAAAATAATTATGGCGTCGTGGCGTCATTCTATATATAATCCACGCGCCTACGGACCCGTAGATAATATAAACCCCGGCTAAATCTACGTAACCCGTACACTTTAGGCCTGATATATAGTCTATAGCGTATCAGTTAGGCGGATGCGCAATTCCAATTGTCAAAATGTCGTATTACCGTTAAGGATAAAAAACATTCCGGTGACATTTCCAACGTTAAAATTATTTACGTTAATCGTTCGACGGCCAATTTCGTCCAAGACGGCTTAATTAATTCTACCTTTTTGTAGTTCCGGAGATATTTATCCATTCCGCGATGTTAAGCTTGTCGCCATTTTACATCGTTAAGCTGAAAATTTAATATCGAAATTTGAAATCATTAAATTAATTATAGAAATTACTTAAAGGATAATTTAAATAAATGACGACGGACTCCGATACTACGACTTCGGTAGGTCGAGATTTCCAGGTGGAACGTTGTTTATTGTCGCATCGATGGCCGGGCGTTTAATTCGTTGTTAATCGTATACGCGCCGAATAATCACCGTCTAATCACATTTTTAATTACCGTTATTGGCCGACATTCGTCCCGGTGTCGAGAAAGGTCTCGGCGGTCGATGGCGCCTTATCGATATAAATGGCGACGAACGTCGCGGTCTCTTAGGCGTTTTCTTTCTCCCTCTTTGCAAACTACAGTCTGGTCTGGTCGAAACACCTGCGCCTCGATTGCCCCGGTCCACCGCACCGCGGCATTTGTTCTTCGAAGAGACCGTACGTGGGTTGGAAGAAAAGTCACTTCGCTCAATTTACGGGAAAATCGGGGAAATTTTCTGGTCTAGACTAGACCATTGTTTCCTACTTTTAACATCTGCCTATCCCTTTCTGGATCTCGGCCCGGTCCACTTACCCCGTCCCAATTAACCGGTAAGCCCTCCGTCCGCCTTTCGCTCCTTTCTAGTTACTAATTAAAAATTCGCGCCGGTAAAAAAATTAATGAAAATTCATTCCGCGTCATCGGCAATATGGCGGATTAAAGCGCCAAACGGATTTAAAGCCGACGCGTTTATTTATAATCGCGTATCGAAACCAACTAATTATACGTCATCTATCCGTAACGGGTCTCTCTATATATATATTTCGATCGTCGGTCCGGGAACATTTTACGTCATCGTTACGTAAGCGGGACGATACCGAGCGTGACGTCACGAATCGCCTACGTGGAGCGGACGGCCGCGTTAATACGCGTGGTCGTGTCGTCATTGCGTAACTAAGCCGATTCGTCACCCGGTCGCTAGTGTCGTAATACGGCGAATTCTATTATCCGGAGAACATTTTGGGATATTTTTACTTATCGACGCGAGTTTTAGGCGACGGAATTTCTGGAGGGTGGAGGGAAGGAGGGAGAGAAAATTCTGCGTAATCATTTTCTCTAATTACCTATATACACGATCGAAAACACGAAACGTATTTAAGCGTAATTATTTGTAGGACGTGGCGAGACGTCGATTAAGAAACGATAAACGTTTTCTTTATTGGACGCTAGGAGGAGGTCGTCCGTCGCCCTTCCCCGGTGCGACAAACTTCCGATAGTAACGAAGCTCGGTGTATTATTAAAAACTTCTCGATTGCATTTTAGAAAAATTAAAAATAAGTATTTTCTTCTTATTATTTAAACTTTTGTTATTCGCGAAAGGTAACCCGGGTCGACGAAGCGTTAGACTTTATTCGCCATTCCGCTCCCGTATCGAACGTTTCTAGACCACCGGTAGTTCCCGGTCGACGTTTCGAGGACCACCGTTCCCCCGAATTTTCTTCCCTTCGGCGTAAACGTTCTCGGAGAGGAAAAGGCAGGTGCGTCGTAATTTCTGTTCTAACAGCTCGAGGAAGTTTCGTTAACTTTGGAAAATTTCTTCCCGGACGAAGACGAGGAACTTACGTTTCTATCTTATTCCTCGTCTTTTCGTCTAAGGGTTATTCGTCCGTAGACACGCTCGTCAAATTTTTACTCTCGAAAATTATTTTTCAAACGGTAAAATGGCCTCTTCCGATTTAGCTTATAACGATGGATTTATCGAGTTTTTTTCTTTTCTCGTAGGCCTACAGACTCGATATTTTCACATTCGAAAAAACAAATAGACGGTCTTACGCGCTTAATTCATAATATTACTCGCGGTTTCTGTGGCATTTGGTCTTAAACGCGCTACTTAACGCGCGTTTTAGTATTATTTAAACCTTAAATCAGTCGAGAATTAGGAAGCGCGGAACTTCGAACGCGGTAAAAGGGGCCCGCTCGAATTCGAACCGAAAAATGTAAATATCTTTTAAGAGTTGGCGGCTGGTGATTATGTAATAAAATACTCGTAGCCTGGACATAACAATTTCGAATCGGAATTGCGAGAAGAGAATAAAGTAACGAGTACACGCGCAAAAAATGGAGGATGACGAAATATTTTCACAGTCGCGGTCTTCGAATGTATTGTACTCTCCGATTTGTCGAAAAATTTCAAAACGACGGAAGAAATAAAAATCGATACAACGATAGGATTTTACCAGACCGAACTTGGTAGTGTTCTAATACAGTGTTACAGACGTATAATCTAAATATAAATTACATAATATCAAACGCTCCGATTGTACTTTTGACTTTCTGTTAGCGAAACTAACGAACGAGATTTACTTACTTCCATTGTTTATAATATTATTGAAAAAAATAAAACTTTCTTCTCAAACAGAATTAATAATCGATGGCTTTATACGTATTATTTCTGGATTTCTAAAATTAACGTAATCGATATATTGACCATGCATTATTTATGTATCGATATACGAGACAAGTAAGATTACGCGCCGTACTGTACAGTACTATAAATTGGCGCTAGAAACCATCTTGGGATTCCCTTTTGTTGGCGCATCGTTTCTATTACTATAACCAAGATAAAATATCGTAATGTAAATTATCGCACGATGTCGGAAATTTTATGGCGGATCGACGATAGGAGCATCCGCCGACGATAACGATCCGATTAATCTTTCCCCATAGCGAAACGTAACGACGTTAGTTGAGCGGAAACGATCCGAGAGATTCGTATTTCTTCATTTTGATATATACTACAATAACTAACCGCAATGGCATAGAATATGTCCGGTCGGATGATATAATATCAATTCCTTCTCCGTATTTTTACCGTTTAAGACTTACGACGATAATACAGACGTAAGCTCGACGCCGAAACACTTAATACGTAAAGAATTAAAAGATTAGAAATAAAATCGTTTTATTTATAGACTTTAAGGTAAAACGTTGACGACGACCCAGGGAGGAATTAACGTTAAGTCTCGATATATTCTACCGCGTACTCTATTATAAATTTATTTCCCTATTGCCTTGGTATTCGTTGGCATCCGCGACGCGACACCTTTCGAATTAGGCAATTAAATACCGTAATGAGGTGGGAGAGCGATATCCTAATTTATTTCCATCTCGATTATAAGTTCTACCAATCGAATATACCGTAACGCATGGGTCGGCGTGTTCCCGCGGTTGGCAAATTCATCAAAAAGTACTTTCTTCCCTTAGTAAAATCTCCATCTTTAAGAAAGCTTTAATACCGAAAAGTTATTACGAGGCTTTAATCGATCCTTCGTTTATAGATTGGCAGAATTATGCTGGATAATATCGATTGGAAAATATTTCCAAGTAACGGGTTTATTCAAATAATAAAATTACTGCGGCGTAAGAGCCGCGCATTCGAGTCTGTTTTCCCGTACGTCGTTCTTATCCAAGCGCCGCCCCCCTCCGGTATAATTTTATAAACTACTATTACGCTTATTGGCTCCGTAAGAACATTAAAATAAATTAGTGAATTAAGTCGCATTTTAACTTTACGCGTCGACGTTAACTTATAAACCCAGTTAACTTCTGTAAGCCATTCGGCTGTTATTTAGCCGCGTAATAGATACGACGACACGCGACAATTCGGAAATGCCCGGAGGCTTTTTCTCTCTTCCAATATACTGTATTCTGGAAAGAGAAAAGTCATTATTTCAGCTATTTTTATAGACTAAAATTACAAATAGTGGGTCTTCTACAATTTTCTTATGGATAAAATATAGAAATGATATAAATAATAGAAACATCTGGAAAATAAAACGAGTTTATACACTTTAATGGCGTATTGGGCCGTAAGAAATTTATCGCGGAATAGATGACCATCGGACGGTCGTTTCTAATGCCGTCGAAGAACGCTATCGTTATAAATTTACAATTAGAAGCGCGATGTAAAGATGCCGCCATAGAAAATGTCGCCTGTGTCCGACGTTAAGTTTACCGCAGAACTTAAAACGGTTGTTGCCAGCTTATAAGTCTCCTTTTAACCGTAGTTTTACCCGGGGTGGTTTCGTCAATCGGCGTATTACGGATAACGACGACGAGGTCGAACTTAATTTTTAGGTGTATCGATTTACACCGCCTTCGATAAAGATAAAAACATCTAATGTTTCGCGAATAACTCGAAAGTCCTAGGAGCTATTACCGTCCGATTGTTGGCACTTATTTATTTCGAAAAGACACACTAACGGTTACGATTCTAAATAAATTAACGGGCGAATCATTTATAATAAAATGACTTTTTAGTATTCGATAATAACGCTCGAAAGTTTAATTGGTATATAATTTTTTAACTTAATTTTATAAATATGTTTAACCGGATAGCTATCGAGCCGATATTTGTCATTGTTGCTATGGCAATCAGAAATTGTCGTCCTATTGTATAGCCGGGCATGGTTAATTCGGAAAGGACGAGATAAGGGCAAACACTTTTGGCGTTTAAAAAGTGTTTTAAGTGCAGCTGGTGAATCGGTAAAATCTACGGGTAAAAAACGGGAAGATAGACTTTTTGAAATTAGGCAAAGAATATGGAGATAAAAAGTAACCCGGAAGAGCCGCGAAAACTTACTTCTCGTAAGAAACGAGCATTTTTATTAGAAATTAAGAATGGAACAGGCTCTCTCGGAAATAGTGCCGCAAAATCCTAATACGGAGTAAGCTCGGAACGTAATTCGCTCCGTCAATCTGCTCAAATACGCCAAAAGAAAGTCGAACCTAAAGCTTGCGGACAAGCGCGATGCGGCCAGACTGACTCGAGCCAGAAATCGCACCACCCGGAAGGATCGGCGGAGAAACTTAGTGCCATCGGAAGAGAAAAAGTTCAATTTAGATGGGCCCGCCGGTTGTCAATACTATTGGCCCGATTTAAGAAAAGAGAGGGAAATCTACTCCAAACGACAAATGGGAGGGGTTCCGTCGTGGTTTGGGCTGCCTCCGGAGAGCGAAAGAAAACAAATATTGCCTTTTCCAAAGAAAAGAAGAATGCCAAAGGACACATCCGGCAGCTAGAAATGTATCTACTTTACTTTCGAGAAAGACTGGGAAGTGGTGGATGGCGATTCCGGCAAGATAACGCTCCTTTCTATTACCCTGGAACGGTTTCTGGCCAAACGAGGTTCGAGTGGTGGATTGACCAGTCCCGTCACCGGATTTGAACCGTACGGAGAATGTTTGGGGACTGCTGCAAAGCGGTACGATAAGACCGCAGACCTAAAGATTGTAATCGTTGAGAAATGGCAAGAAATTCCTCGGGGTTTCTTCAAAATTCGATCGACTAGATCAATGTTTCTCAACCTCTAACGAATCGTCGCCTCCTTCAATAAAACCGTTACGTGGTATCGCCCCCTTCGCTTCAAAATTCCGATGCCCAGGGCCGAGGCTAACGCCAAATTCGTACCGCATCGAATGGACTAGTGACTAGTGTAATGTTATTCGTTTAATTATTGTACGATTTAACGAATAAAATATCTAATTATTCTTAATATAATGTTTTACTATATCGCTCAGAAAATTGTTTTTCGCCCCCCTAAAATATAAATTGTTACTAATCGCCCCCTCAACACGGAAAAATGCCCACATATCGCCCCCGTTGAGAAACACTGGACTAAATGGTGGACAGAATTTTCAAAGTAATCGTAAACAACGAAGGGCATTCTGGTTACCAGCTTTCATTAATAACCGCGAAAATATCATTTTCTGCCCATTATTCGCCAGTGTTCTGATCGTTATCGAACACTAAAAAATCATTTTTTTGCGAATAATTCTCCCGCTAATTTATTTAGAATCGTAACTGCTAGCGTGTCTTTTCGAAATAAATAAGTGAGAACAGTCGGACAGTAATAGCTGCTAGAACTCTCAAGTTATTCGAGAAATGTTGGATGTTCTTATCTTTATCGAACGCACCATATATTAATCTGTAATTACAACAATGCCAGTTCTCGTTATATACTCCATAATGTCGTTTTTACGAAGCGTACGGTGATTATTTGTAAGGAAATGTTTTCGTTCTGACGATGGAAGTCGCCACCTCAGCCCCTCACCTACTGATTGTATTTTATTTATATAAAGAGGAATCGTTCTCGTTTCACGCAAAATTTCGTTGACAAAGGCCCATTCGCGTAGGACCAATCGAAAATCACGAAATACGCGTGGGTAAATATGTATCAAAATAACTCATTGGTCTCTATTAAAATAACCCGGCGAAAATTACTTTCAAACAATAATGAAAAACGAATTTTTAAACCAGAGCTTTTAGCTCAAAGGATTTAGAGTTTCTACTAATATCTCCCGTACGAATGGGCCTTTTCCAATGCCATTTTGCATCGCATACATCCTCTTTAAAAACATAAAATACAATCGAGAAAACAATTATATTATTATTTCGTAACGACACGCATTTGTATACAAAATAATCTCTCAATAAATAACTAAACAATTTATTGATAGAATATTCTGTTTTAACCGGAAATTAAATACATTTATAATCTTAAATTTTATAAATAAAATAAATTCTTATCAACCCGGGTGTAGTCTAACCAGATCCACCCAAAGGAAGAAACCGACAAAAACGCGTTTTGGCCCGGGACCAACCAATATTACGGGTAGTCGCGTGAAGAAAATATACTCGGATTTAAATTTGAAAAATGTTAAGAAAGAAAAAGTTGGCATTGTGGAAAAATATTTGTTTTCTCGGTGTTTTTTGACAGAAACACGTCCGACGGGAATACGAATAACCCATAAACTACGAAAACTGTTTGTTTATTCCATTATACGCATTGTTTATCGTAGAATTCCCTGGGAATTTATGGTAATACCCGCGTAATTTAAACACGGATCTACTAATCCAAAACACCACGTACAGTACCTTTAAACGAGAAGACGGGCCGATAATTAATATCGAGTTGGCAAACAACGGACGAGGCGGAGTAATCCACGTAATTACGCTTCTTCGTTACGTCGTCTTTTCCGCTTTCTCCTGTTAAAAATAAGGTAACAAAGATAAGAAATTTGTTGGCATAATAAAAAACAATGTCCAATAGCGATATTAAATTTCTCACACAATTGACAAGTTATTATTTCGCCATATTATTGTTACGGTAAAACGAACTTTTTAAAACTTTCCACTATTTATCAATAGTATTGTTCTAGATACTTTTTGTAAATTTTCGTCCGATGGAGATAATTAAGCTGTAGATACCGTTTTGGCTTCTAACGGTGTTTAGCCTATTTCATTTTAACGCGGGCCTACCAGGTTTAAATTGCGGAATAAGAAAAGCTTTCACTTCACTGGTACAGTTTTCACCTTCGAAGAAGGTAAAAACTGTACCAGTAACCCGTAACGGTTCTAAGTATTCGTTTACTTCGCCATCCCTTTCGGCAGTTATGGCAAAAACAACGGAATGGCCCGCAATATCCTCCCGAGATCCGGAAGAATCTAGAATACTGTACGGTAGGTCCGATCAATAAACGGCATTTTAATATTAATCCGTTAGCCGATATCGACCGCATTGGTAATTATCTTTTGTATTTCGGCATACACCCCACCGTCGACGTCATCCGAATCGCCACGCGCCATTTTAACCGATTTAAAACACCGACCGCCTCTAAATCCGTAGACCGAGCCGGGGATCTACGCGTTTGACCCGGCGTCCGAGTGTCTGGTTAATGTATTTTATAATTTTGAATTTTGTTTCTAGGGCTTCCGAGAAAGGAAATGCCGCAAAGTCCCGTTTAAAAACCAACAAAACCCAGCTTACTTACGAGCGAAAATATAATGGAAGACTCGAGTAAATTGGCATAAATGTAATTTCGCGTTAAACACCGGACTTGGTTTATTTCGTCGGGTAGAAAACAGCCGTTCGAACGTCCGGACATCGAGCATTGTAAAAGCCATCCGCCCTCTTTTTATCGCGTTTGCCTATTCGAAGACACTTTTCCCAGTTAATTTTCTCAGTTCGTATTCTTTTGTCAGTCGCCCGGCTGGCGTAGTTACTCGCCCCCGTAAACTGCGGGTGGGTAAATAAATAAAACAACGCTACTTGGTAAAGGCGCGGCCGACGAAACGGGACAACGATACCATTTACTGGGTGGTAAAGAGGCCGTCCGGTGGTAAGTCGATCCAGTCCGATCGGCGATTTACACCTTTTATGCGCGTAAGAGACTATAAATGTATCCGCACGATACGAGTAAACGAATACAGTAGGCTTCTTACGGAATAAGACTGTCTTAGCCTTTTTCTGGCCTAAAAGCCTCGTATCGCCCTACGGTGGTTAACGACTTATTAACCTTCGAATAATTCGGATTTAATTTTATCCCCGGCGATTAAGGCAAATGGAGATTTGTTCGATCGATTCCGTTCGACTCGACGGCTTATTACATCGATTAAACCATCAAACTTAGTCTTACGAACTAGGCAGAACCGCAGGATATCGTCGTTACGGTTTGTCTCTCTTCCGAAACGTTACCACGGATACTAACAATAACAATAATAACTCTACGTTCTCTGTAAACAAGGTTTCGAGCCAAGCGTGGCACGGCCGTCGCACCTTGTCCACTAAGTCGACGACTCTCTCCGCCGTTTCTTAATTTTCCCGGGGGTAGAATAAATATCGGGTTCTCCTCTCGCCCGTTTACCTAACAAATTCGACGGGCGCGTAGAAAATGGAAGAGGAGGTAGGGGTTTCGTCCGCCTTTTCCCCAATCGTTACCTCGTTATCGATAGGTAAAGGTAGAGCGCGTGTGGCGCGGGCGTGATGGTAGGGCGCCTTTATGACGGAAAGAGGGGTGACGCCGCGCGTTCTACCTTTCCCGCAGGTTAGGAGGGGCGGAATCAAATAGGCTTTTAGTCATTTTGTTATAACCGGTCCCGGGGTTTATCTTCTCTCTTCCGTTAAAATCTCGTCCTTCTTTTATTTACGCGCTTAAACGACGTCAATTTTACACTTTATTTGCGTGGTTATTATTTAGAAAAAGTAAGAGAATAAAAACGACTTTATTTTAAACTTTTCGGCCGCGTGTCGGCCGGAACGAAAGGGGGATTCGACTAATCCTTAGTCCAATTTTGAAAGAAAAAAATAGAATTTTAACCAGTACCGAGTAGTTTTTTTTATCAGTTATAATCGGGAATTCCCGGAAAAAATTACAAATTATTTTAATCCCGATTTCCGGGAAAATTTTCCACATTTCTCGGAATAATTTATGATCTGGCAGACTTTTTGTAAAGTAATTTTTAATAATTCATAACTTTCTTAATGTAAAGAGGATAAACGTAAAGCTGGAAACGAAACTTTTCTGCGCCGAAAGAATTGTTCGTGTTCTAAACGGAGAAAAGGGCAAAATCGTTCTTGGAGGATTCTCCTTTCATTTACTGTTAAAGGCAATTAATTATTGAATAAAACAGATTTTAAATCTGTACGCAACGAGAGAAAGAGCGGATTCTTTGTTGTTCTCGGTCGACGCGTGGACTTTATGGTAGAAAATTAACATATTAATTAATATAAAAAAGACGGTCGTTACAGAAACTAGTCGATAGGGAAATTTCGATTTCCTCCACAACCTTATAATTACGCAAAAAATAAATTGTAAAGCGTTATAAAGCGCACCGGGGACGATGCGAAATTTCGTAAACTGCGATCAACGGAGTGGATCTTGGAAAAGATTCACTCCGTTGATCGCAGTTTTATTTTCGCTCGGCCTAGGTTAAATGCTCTTTCTTTCATTTGTACTCTGGCGACGTACGCTAAACGCTAGTTTCTCGACTCGTGTCACTAGGCCTATCTATTTTTAACCCAGAAATTTTCGGAAATACCGTCTCCGGGGAGTTCGGAAAACTCTTAAATTTTACTCTAAGCCAGTTGTAGCGACGGAGGAAGCGAAAGAAAATACATAAAATCCATCATTTTTAAATAAAACACCAGAAATTCAAAACTGGATTTACCTTTCCGGCGTAAGAAATCGGCTTTCCTCGCACCGGTCTTATTACATTTATACACGAAACGTACAAACGTATTTCGATTGCTTTTACCAAAGATTTCCGAGCGGGTAGCGACCAACTGGCTTCTACGTCGGCTTTTCCGGCCATGAAGACAAAAGAATACGTCGTTTATTACCGTAATCCGCTTACCGATATTTATCGACGTAAAACTGGACCTAAAATTGGCCAAACCGAAGAACTTTAAAATAGAATTATTTGAACTTTTCGACCAGACCGAAACTTTTCGCACTCGGCATCGTTCTTCCGAGGGTATACGTCCGGTAACCCGGTCGTTTTTTCGATTTTTGTTTTCGTATTCCGAGGGAGTGGAAAAACGGCACGAACGGCCAGGCTTCGTTTCGATAAGAAATCTAGGTAAACCGACTTTATTTATGCAGTTTTTTTCTTTTACTTTATGGATTTCCCGATAAAAAGTTATCTAAAGGGGCGCATTTAAAGCGCGCCCCGTCCATTTCCTTCTCTTCGTAAACAAACCCAACGGACTAGACGACGTAATTTGCTCTTCTACTAAATCCTCCTCCGGTGTTTAGAATACGAACTCGGCGTCGATACGAGAAAAGAGACGGGAGGCGAGACTAAATAGAAATTTATGTTTAGTTTCCATTGTTCTTTCGAGCCCGGACGATTTCGAGTTTCCGGCGATAAATGGCGCCGTCCCGCCAGGATTCTCTTAAATATACTAGCGTTAAAGAGGATTAAAACGGCGGCCGGAAAATTCCAGTTTCGAGCCCTTTTCCCGGATAATTTATCGCTTGTGGAGCGCGAAGACGAGGAGTATATTTAAGGAATAACGATAGGAAAAGCGAAGCTTACACTTAGGTCTTATATTCGAGTAAATACGGGATATGCCGTTGGGGTTGGCTCGAAACTAATATAAGACACTTACGGGCTAAAAGAATTAAAGCGACGACGAAAAGTTAAATGAAAGTACTGTATGGATACGCGACCGGTGGAAATACCCGGATTTTCTAGGAACCATTGCCATCGTTTCTAGAAAATTAAGATACCGTATTTTCACCGGTTACGTATCGATATTAAAGATTCGGAATAGAAGCGGGGTGGAAATTACGGATTAAAGGAAAGGCGGGTGGAAGAAATTCGAACTCGGACGGCCGGGAATTACAAAAGCCAATTCGCGTTGCGTTTTAATAGCGGAAAGTGTTTATTTTCCTTCTTCGGTAAACGAGGGGAAACACCCGACGCGTCACAATCTATCTACGCCAAATATCGCGTGAACCGACGTCGACGTCGTCGATCGGATTAATAGGTGACGGATATCCGGAAGATTCTATTTTGGCGGCCGGGGAGAAGGGCGAAGAGGGGAAGGACGACGACGACGAATCGTACGGGTCGATAGAAATGTTTTCGTAACATTTACTATTAAATTAAGTGACAATTGGGAGATTTAAAAAGTTTTCGGGACGGATGGAGAAAGGCCGACGTTTCCGACGGGGACATTTACGGGGGGTTACTACCACCGACCAATAATTTCCAGGATAGAGCGGAGGACATCCGTTTGCTCCGCCAGCCGTTAGCGCTTTTTTACGCTCTGTCCGCCTGGCCGGTACACTAAGGGCTTTGGTTGGTTTCTTTTCTTTTTCGTGGGTGTTTAACGCCGTACGATGACCCAAACGAGTATATTTCGCCGGCTTCGTCTCCTCCCCGTCCACTCTTTCCGGACTAGAGAAGCGCGGTACTCTACGCTTTACCGGCTAGGCGCTTAGCGCGTTACTTTCTACCTCGTCCGGAATAATTACGTAATTTCCACGTTACCTTTCGAGTCTCTCCGGAGTCGGCCGCGGTGGTTCTCCGGTGACGAAATTGGCTTTTTCTCGGGCATCCGTTTCCGTTTTTACGCTAATTTCTCAAAAAATTTCGTTTCTTTTCGCGGCGGACAAAAACGTGCGAATTTCACGGGCCAACGGTTCACGGACGACGACCGAACCGCCAAGCCGTATTACGGTGCGGGTGGCCGGCCTAGGTCGGAGGTCGTCCCGCGGATACCGGCCTACCCGGCCGTTCTAGCGTTTTCCGTTCGGTACCCGACGGACGACGGGGGGGAGGAGGTTTTCCGGCGCCAATCTCGGCGCGCGGTCGACTTCCGCTACTCCCGCCGGAAGGTGTCCGGTCGGCCGGTTTAACCCGCCGGATTACGGAGTATTTTTATAGCCTCCGACTTACGGCGAATTCACGCCGATCGGCCCGGGATAACGGGGAAAGGTGGGGGCTAAAGACGAGAAGGGACGGCGGAGTTAAAAAAAAGCCGCTTTACTCTTACCCGCGGGCACGCTTCGTACGCTCGAGAGATTTACCGCCCCGACGATCCGGTCGGACGTAGCCGGTGGAATTTGCTGAAAAGAGTGGAGACGGAGCGAACGTCGATTACCTTTGTCTACGTAAACGGTGGGTTCGACGTTCCACCGGAAAACTTAACGACCTATCCGGAAGTGGCGGGATCGAAGTCTCCGGTAATTAGACTAGGTCGACTTCGTACCCGGGCAAAAAGTACAATCAACCCGCGGTGTGTTTTACGGGGTGACGACTACGGAGACTTTTCTGCCCGCCCTTCCTAAATTTTCGTCCGTGGCTTAGGCAAATATCGCCTTTAACCAGTATCCTCCGTCCGATAAGTCCGGTCGGGTGCCGAGAGTGGGGAGGGACGGGAAACGGGAACCGTTTTTCCGACGGAATTCTCCCCTTTGCCCGAGAGGTTAAACGGCTGCCACTCGTCTTAATACCGATAAAACCCAGGCCGTCCGGGGGTTCCGGACGGAAAGGTCGACGTAAGTAGTAAAAGTGACCGGTGGAGGCCGTTGGCCTTCACCTAAAATAAAATACTTTCCTTCTTTTTAACGAACGCTGAGCACCGCATCTCGGCGTTTAAGGCTCCCGGCCCGATTAACCGTCCACCTACAAAGGCGCGGACTCTACCGGGGGTGTAGATTAGGAAATAAAATCCCAGCGATTCGTCGACCATCGGCCGGTTATCGGATCCGCGCCCCGCACTTTTCATTTATCGATTTCGCCGTACTTACTCGTTAGCGCGATAAAAATACGCTCTACGGATACGGTCCAAGTAGTTTACGGATATTTACCACTCGCTTCTCCCTAAGCCTTCGATTCCAAAGGGTTAGGTCGTATACGCTACTCCGAATACAGTACAACGGAATAATCGTTCCAGAAAATGCAAATTTTTACTTTTCCTACATTAACCACCGGCCGGGGGGAGAGACTTTTATCGAATCCTAGCTCTTCGCTATTAAATAATCGTCTTGTTACGCGTTACCCAGCCCGATAATCAGCGCCCGCAGTTTTATCACTCGGAATATCGTTTGTCGGAATCCCACGGCGTAATCGAAATTACTCGGAAGCAAACGTCTGGTCGTACCGTACTCCTTTAAGTTACCGTATTGGCGCCCACTCCCGTAAAAACTGGAACGGCCCGGGATCTCCCTTTTCTATAGAAAATAATCCGCGCCCGTCGGACCGATTGGCTTCTACTCCGTCGAATCGGAAACCAAGTTTTCCGAGAGTAATTCTCATCGCGCGGGAGAAAAGCCAAATACGTTACGGGCGGAGAATCCGCGGTGGAAATTCGTACCGCGATTTATCGGGCATTTACGTAACTCGGTGTCGTTGCCCGTCCGGGTGGAGGCTGCTTCCCGGCATAACTCCGTTAACCAGTTAAACGTCTCTCTTCTGCCACTCGCCTGGCCGTTTCCACCCGAAAATATACAACTTTATCCCAGCTACCGTCGTCCGCCCTTCGCGGTAACCGAACGATTCTTACAAAACCATTTCGTTTCGAATCGCCTTTAAGCGCGTATAAAATCTAGCGGTAGTGGATACCGGGGGAAGAAGTTTGTATTTTGTCGGCACCCTTCCTCCGGTACTCCGTAAATAACCATAAAACAAAAGTCGCCGCTCTCTCACCCCCACCCGCACGCGCGTTTCTCCGTCCGAATTAAATTTAATGGCTGCCGAAAAGATAATGGCCCGTAACGTTAATCCGGGGAATGAGGAACTTTAAGGAACGGTTGCTTAAACACTAACGCGTACCGAAAGGAAAAGAAGGCCGAGAAACGTAATTTAGACCGTGGATAACGGCCGCCGGCGGAAGCTTCCGAAAGACGAAACCCGAAAAACACCGACGAAAACGGGACGAACGGAAAGAAACCGGGTAGAAAATTCCGACTCCGATACGCGGGAAGAGACCGGTCGACCGAGATAATGGTGCTCGAAAACTACTTCTATTGTCTAACGTAATGGTCGGCCCTCCGGTTAAGGACCCTATCGGTCCGACGTCTTTTTCGTAAATACGCCGGCCGGTGTTTACTTTCGTACCATTCCCATAAAATGTTACCCTCCCGTCACCCCAGATTCCGCGCCGCTTTAAACCCAACGAAAAAAAGACAGAAGTCGCCTCCGGTCGTATGGTAACAGACTTCGTATTGGCGTTATACGCCGCGCGGCCAATCGTATTATAGGAATACAAAGAACATACCACTATAAATTCGTCCGTAATCGTCGGACGCCGAGGAAAGCCTTGGGGTGGCAAAGCCTACCGGGTAGCCCGGTTACCGGCCGGGGTCGAGGTTACCGCGGTGGACGAAATCTCCGTCGGTAGTCGACCGGATGTCCTCTCCGCGGTTTTCCTATTTGCCGGGAAACGGGTAAAGAATCTTCGCGCCAAACTATTTCTATTTTAAATTATACGGCGCGAAACAATAGAGGGGAAGGAGAAAGAAGGGACGGTAAACGACGGGAAAGGCCTTATCCGCTTTGGCGCTACGGGTTTTTACACCGGCTTTTGTTTGGGCAGACTTTCGCCCACCACGTCGTAGGTACTGTTGGCTTAATACCACGGCGGAGAATCGAGTCTCCTCGTCGCCGGCGCCACTTTATTTCGACCCGGCCCGACTCTTCCGACCGCAAGGACGGTATTCGGAGACGGAAGACCCGGCCGCCACCCTTCCTACCCTTTTACCTAAATGCCCGAGGACGGATCCACCGGCGTCCGAAACGGGGTTCGGCGACCGCCGAGTTTTTAGGACGCGCTCCGGTCACGCTCCGTCGCCGGAACGTGGCGAATCTTTGGCGTCAGGCCATCCGTAAAACGCCTTTTCTTCTCGCTCGGCTCGCGCTCGGGGCCCGGACGGCCCTCCGCGGCCCGGTCTCCGCCGGCGCCGGCCCCAACTCCGACCAGAATCTTCCCGTCGGGCCCCGATAAAGCGGAAAGGTCACTTACCCCGGTGGAACTGCCCGAACTCTCCGTTTAGCGCCGTGTTCCGGCACGTGCGTCCGACTTCCGCCGTTGCTGGCCGCTTTCCGCGCGGGAGAGTCGGAGGTGGCGCGGTGGCGGTGTCCACGCTTCGGACGAAAACGGTCGACTGCAACCCTTAATTGTCTTCGGGCCGACGTCTGGCGCGCCCAGACCGGTCGGTTCCGCGGGCCGCCGCCGGCCGGGAATTGGCCGACGAGTGTAGAAAACGGTGACGTCGGCGCGGTGCACGGTGGGAAACGGCGCGATGCGAGCGGCGACAGGTGATGTGGTCACTGACTCGGCTGGCTGCAGGTGCAACGACTGCCGACGGCGGACCAATCAGAGAAACCCGCCACACATTTAATTGCGGGAGAAACGGAAAAGGAGAGATTTGCCACGGGAACCGGCGCCCGACCAGTTCTTACCGGACGCGTCGTCCTCTTACTTTCGCCACGCGACCCTCCAGGTAAGACGCATCTTCGGCGCAACATCCGCGTCCGACGTACCGGCCGACGCGTTCGACCGCCCGCGGCCGGTGTCCTCCGCGCTCCGCAACGCGCGCGTCGACTCCCCGTCGGGAGGACCGCGGATCTCTTCCGTCGTCTCCCGTCCCCTTTCGCCCGGCTCCCGGCGTCGGCCACCTCGGGTCTTTCCGGCTCCGCGCCGCCGCGCCGACGCTTCCGCCGAACGGGTGGCTTTCTCCCGGTCGGAGAGTCACGTGCCTTCCGACGTACTTCCCGTGACGTCGGCGCCGGCGCTAGACGCGTGGGACGCCAAACCGTCCGTCGGTCGATCGGCGGGTCACGTCCAGGTAGGAGGAAATCGGAAGGCGCCGGGGCCAGGCCGAGAGAGGCGGGAAGGGAGCGCGGGCCCCGCCGCCAGGGCCGGAAGACGGACCCGTGGAAGACCGCCGTCCCGACGGGACGTCGCCGTCGCCGGCCGACGGTGGCCGCCAGGTAGGGGTTGAGCGCGCGGCCGCCTTTCAGCCGCCGGCCGGTCGATTTTCTGAGAGAAAAACCGATTTCGGCGGGGCGACCGGCGCGGGGCGGGCCGGGGGCGACGGACACTTCGAAAGGAAAGGGTTCGGACCCGCGAAGACGGAGTCGGTATCCTTCCGGATCCTGGCCGATGGCCGTCCGACGGGAGACGACGGCGAAACGGGAAGAAGCGTTTAAGGCCGGGCCAAAGCTTCCCTCCCCGTCTTCGGACTCGATCCGAAGGTAACGGTTTATTTTAGCCGCGGTGTTGTCGAGACTACAGAAGTGCGCAAAGTTCCGCCTGCAATTTCGTAACCGTGTTCGCGTCTGGACGGTTTTCCTCCCTCCACCGACGGTTAAACGGGTTTGAGTATTTTCGTGAACTCTGCCGAGTGGATCCGCCGTGGGCGGTGGGCGGGCGCGGGAAGACCCGATCGGGTTCCGGTCGGGACCGGGGAAGCGGGCCGGACCCCACTTTCTTGTCCCCTGGACGGGTACTCGTCCGCCGTGCCGAAAGCCCTAAAGTGTCCCGGCCAGTGTTTGGGCCTTTGGTCCCGAGCGTCGTCGACAGACAAAGAAGACGGTCGAGCGATGGCACCGAGGTTTCGACTTAAATCAGAGAAATTCGGCCGATCGATTAGCGCCGGGAGACGGCAAATAATGGACGATAAAGCGGGTGGAGAAAAAAAGGGCAGAGCGAGGATGGCGAGTCCTTGGACCGGGTCGTCGCTCCCGTCCTCGACAATTTCGATTCCCTTGGTTGGTTTTCGGGCCGACGCGTCCCTCGGCGGCCGAGTTGCGGGCGGCGCATCCTTTCTTTCGTTCTTCTTCCGGCATGGCGACCGAAGCGCTTCTCCCCCTTTCCCTTCCGACCTCGACCTCGACCTTGGAATTTTTCGAAAGATTTCGGTCCCGGGCGGCGCGTCGAATGACGTCGGAGGCCGCGGTAAGTACCGCCTCGACTCCTCCTCTTCCGGGCGGGCCCGGCAGGCCCGACGCCTTCGGCGGCCGCCGAGTCCGGGAGTCTGGCCCGACGCGCGTTGGGCGTGTCCCCGGGCTCCGCATCGAATGCCGCAATGCGCGTGACGTGGCCGTCCGCCGACCAATGGCAGGGAGGAAATGAATAAATAATGGGAAGCGTGGCGTCCGGCTTCGATCCGCTAATGGCCTCCCCGGGGACCCGGCCGGGCGAGCGGGCCGCCACCCCCGGCCCCGGGACGCTTCCGGCGGGCTAATTAGCGCCGGCGCCGGGGTCGAGCGCGGGGTGGGCGGGGCCGGTCCGCCGTCGTTCCCTTCCTCTTAATGGCACTGGAAGAATTCACGGCTCTGTTGTCAACCCGTGATTTCTCTAGTGCTATGAAGAGTAACAGGAATGATCTGCTCTCTCCCACCGCCCACGGTACCGGGCCCGCGCGCGCGCGCCCCGCCCGGCCATTGCGCCGCGGCTTTCCCGGAAACGCCGGGCTCGGAAGCGCTGGGACAGGTGGACAAACACTTCGACCCGGCCCCGCGACTGGTACACGCACCGATGACGTCACTGCAGTCCAAATCGATTCCGAAACGGCGCGGAGAAGCGCGTCAGTCGGGAGAGCGACGGGTGTCGACGCGTCACGGAGCCCCGCTCAGGTAAGTCCCGAGTCTTCCGGGCCCGGAGGCCTTTCGGGTCCGGACCCGGCCCCTTTCCTTCCGCGCAACTTTCTTTCCTCCGGCCGCGGGATTTCTGCCGGTCTCTTTCGGTCCCGGGTCCCGGCGGGCGCCCTGTACGGCGGTGCGATTCCCGACGCCGTCGGAGAGGAGCGGGCCGGGGTTGGGCCGATCCCGCGGCCCGTGGCCGAAAGGACGAAAATTTCGGCCGAAAAGACCGGTAGAATTGACGGCGGAGGCGGGGGGTTTCGTCCTACGATTCCGGCGGCGGCCCGGACGGGGTGGGGAAAGTCCGGGCCGACGAAAGGGCCCGCCGGGTGACGTCCGAAGCTAAGAAAACGGCGGCAGATAACTTCTTCCGCGGTAGAAAGTGGCTTTTTTTTCTCGTTTCTACTCGATCGACCCGACCTTTCGGCCGGGGAAGGGGGCTGTCGGCGGAGTTTCGTCGGGAGTGACCCGACGGCCCGGAGGTCTTCGGTTATTCCAGACAAACGCGTTTTCTAGCAGCGATTTTCTTGCCTTTCACCGCAGTTTTGCCTCTCTCGTTTCGGGAAATGTCGATTGAATGGCGCGCACGGGCAAGCCGCGGGCAGAGACGCGTTACGTCTAGAGGCGTCGCGACGGCGGTGGTCCCTACGACAAAAAGAGAAACGTAACCCGGCCAAGACAGTGCGACGATTACCCCGGTGTAACTCGGCCGAGCGAATCGGCCGGGCCGGAGCGACAGCCGCGTAACGACCGCGAGTAATGAGCCGGTGGACGAACGGAAACAAAAGGAAGGCGCCGGCCCAAAATAACCGGGGGGCGAGCGGAAGCGATCAAATCCATTACTCGGCCACGCATCACGCGAATCCGCCAAAGTGCGACGGCCGCTTCCTTCCGGGTAATTGGCCGACCGTCCCTTCCCACCCTTTGGCCTCCGCCGGAAAGGCGGACCGTCCTCTTCTTCCCGGGCCCGACCGGCGCGCCCCACCGGGGCCTCGGGGCCCGAAAGCCCGACCGTTTCTTTCTGCGGAAGAGGAACCGTCCCGTCGTCGGTTTCCCTTATTCTTGGCACTGGAAGAATTCACAGATGTGGTCGGAAAGTCGTGGGTTCTTGGGTGCCAAAGATAAAGGAATTCCGTCCAACACCCAGGCGGGCCCCGAGCTCGGCGCACCGACTTCGACGGAAGCTCGTACTGTACCGTACTCCTCCGTTCTTTGGCACTAGCACATTTTTGTGTTCCTGTCGTACGACAAAAATTGTAGTAGTGTCAAGTAACACGGGGAGGCCGACGTCCGATCCTTCGGTTCCCTCCCCTTCCTCCCCCGCCGGAAATCTGCCCACCGGCTCCTCCGACGGCTTCCGGAAGCCGCGTCTTCCATTGGTTTTCCGTCCGTCGGTCCTCCTCCCCGGGAACCCGAGAAGGCACGCGCCGGAGGGTCCTCCAATGCGGAGTCGCCATCGATCCGATGGCGCGACTCCGTCTATTGGCTTCTTCTTCTCTCTTCTCGGTAACGACGAGCGCGCGGCGCCGGATACCGTTACTGCGCATCGCCTCCCATTTCGGCGTTTCCCCACCCGCCGATTATCGATCCCGCGCCTACGGCGGAAAGACGAGAAGAACAAAACACCCCGACGACGGACACGCCTTTTTGCCTAGGGTTTACTTCCGGAATTCTTCCACGCCTCCGCTTCGTTCCGAGACACCCGAGTGGCCTATTTATCCAGGCCATCGGACAGCGCGGTTTCGTACCCGATAGGGAGTAGGTACCCTCGGAATAATCCGCGGAATAATTCGAGTGCGGGACGGTCTAATCCACGCGGTCCCGGAAGATGTGGTTTCCCAATCGCAGAACGACTGCTACCGTACGGAATATAATCCTCTAGGCCTATAGGTAATTTCCATTTAGAATAGACACGAGGTACCGGACCGGGGCAAATTTCTTTTATACAACGCGTTACGTTGCGGATTAGAGGGGACGTAAAATGGGAAAACGATTTACATTAAGAATTGTTTCGGGCCCGAAATGCGGGAGAAATATAGTCCGAACCACCCGTGTTCTAGAATAGACCGGCTAAATGTCCGAAAAGCCTACGAAAGTCGAACAAACGGAAATATTTATTGTCTTTCGTCGGTCGGACGGTGTTCGATTACGATATTTATAGGAGCAATCAAAAAAGACAATATTAAAATAATAATTGTTGGCGCATTAGGGATAAATTGCCAATTAGAAATCCCGTAGAAGGAGAAATTGTCGGAAATTTGGTCGAACGAGTAAGCGGGTATTTCCCTTTCTTATAGGCCTGGGGTGACCGAACTTTTTCACAGCGGCCAAATAACCGAGAGAAGGACGAGCGCGGGCCGCGTAACCAGTTTCTCCCATACAGTACACCGAATACACAAAAATTAAAGACAACCGACATATTTATTTTCCAATAGGCAAAGGCGACGGCCGCGGCCAGCCGGTGATGGCTTTCCTTAGAAACTGTACTTACATAGAAAAAGCGTTCCGATATCCAAAGTGACGGATTTCATTTAAAAATTATATTACTGTCGGATGCGAAAATGAGATCGGACCAATTTTGGCATCTTTACTTCCACTTATTTGAATTTTCTACGCGGTAAGTTAATCTACAGTCTATGATATTTCTATACAAATAATTATATTTTAGCTCATTTGTAGGGCAGCGCGGCAAAGGGCCGGTTTGGTAACCCCCGTTATAGGCCTATACAATTATATCTTCCACGGGGCTGGGGGGAATTATTACGTAGACTAATCGATGCAATTTTGGAATAATTCGAGAAATAGAATATTATTTGTATCCAAAATAAGTTTCGGGTATACGTCGGTTGCTACGGACGCATTTACTGCGTATTTTTTGCCGAAATTTGCCAGAAACTTTTCTCCGTCGGCCGTAAAGCCCGAGACTTTAACGTCCAAACCCGAGGTCGGAAAAGAAACGCTTGCAAAAAGATGGGAAGACGGAAAGGTTTCCCGCCCGGTACAGTTCCGGACACCACCCATGCATCGGGCATCTTTTAGTTAACTCGTTCCCGTTAACTTATATATAGGCCTAGGAAGAAAATAGTCCCTCGGTTCTCTCAGTTATAAGCGCGGAGATTTCTAATAATTTGTGTCGGACTTAAGCGTCTTTACAATTACTTAATATCCGCGAAAATCGAAATTTCCATTATAAAATATTACGGAAATTCCTTGGTTTCCGGTCGGAAGTCGGCGCTTCTTTCGTCGGGACCATTTCCGACCGAAAGGAAGAATTTTTGTATCCGGATTAAAAGACCACCGACGACCATTTTCCATTTATTACCGGAGATTGTTTCGAGTCAAAAACATCCTATAAAAAAGGGGGAAAGAGAATTACCGGAATCGATGGGATGTTTCGGCCCTTTTTCGCCGCCTGCCGGAACGCGTAAATAAGTACCGGGACGGATTTAGAGGGAAGCTCTAAATCTATAAATTGTCTGCCGAGTATATTTTTATGTTACGTAATCGAGTGGAAAGAATATTTTAGCCCGAATATTTTTCCGGGAAAACGCGCATTTGACTATTGTCGCCACCCCGGTCCGGTTTCTCTTTCTTCGACCATTTTGGACCGGAAACCGTTTCGTCTATCGTCCTTCTCTTTTTGCTTTCTTCGAGTTTTGTCCCGTCCTTTCTTTTCTACCCACCATTCGTAGGCCTAGATTTTCTTTCCGTAGCCACCCGACTTTTTTTGCCCGCTTTATAAAATATACAGTACTTATATTTACGGTTTAGATCTTTAAATACCGAAATATTTTGGCTTGGGAAGGGTGGCCGTCTTCGTTTATTACGCCCGACCAGAAGAGCCGGTCGGCACGCGCCTATAGAAAGTGTCCTCTTTTGTCGGGTGACCCCTTCCGCGGCCACCCGGACGAGGTCTTTTTCCGTTAAATTAGCTCCCGGTTTTCCCGCTAGTTCTAACACCGGTTTCCGTTCCGGTGGCTTTCTCCGTGCATTTTCGCTAATTACTCCAAAAATTTAAACGTTTTGTATTTTTTCACTTTGGGGTAATAAAGCGGCTTCCGCCGGGCGAAAGAGAGAAAAATTTCACGGGAATTAATAGATTGGGAGTAAGCGGATAACGAAGGTTAGGGAATTTCTTTCCTAGACAATTACGTTTCTAACTTTAACGTTTATTCGGCGTTTAAAAAATAAACTGGAAAAATTAACTACCGCATAAAATAAAATAAGACCTGATTTACTTCCGCATTATTATTTTTTGCAAAATTTGTTAAAAGATCTTCGCGATTAATGCGGAGAACCTAAAAGAGAAAATGTTTTTTCTTCCGTCCGATCGGCCCTTTTGTCGGGAATTGAATTTTTATCCGCTTCTTCGATCGGCGGGTACGGGTTCTCCGCCAATGGAATCCAACGGAATCGCTAACGGGAAAATTTTGGCACCAACGGCTCTTTTTCTACATTGAAAATAAATTCGATTCCGGATCTTTAAACCTATATAATGTACTGTACAATCGAGACGGGTTGATAATAGATAATAATAAGCGCGGCCCAAACGGTTAGGAGTCGAAAATCGAAATTTGGTACACATTTAGGGTACGCCACGTGAATGTACTGTACAGTACCTTAAGAAGGAATTTCTCGAAATTTCCCCGCGGAGGGAGAAGGAGAGGGTTAAGAATTACCCCGAAGAACTCGGCTTCCGCCGTACTGTTTTGATGCGGTTTTTTTATATTTTTGCAGAAAATCCAACATATTTTTAGACCCGTGTAAAAATTCTCTAATTAGCCTCGGAACGGGGGACGGAATTCTCGCACCCCGCGAAAAGGGTAAGACGGGCTAGGTGGGATAACCTTTGTAGTTATATAAACCACGTTGTATAATATAATACAATTAGAAGTACGAAATGAGCTAATCTTAATGTTTGTTCTTATTTTTTTGCCCGCGGCAGAAATGTAAAACGGAAGATCGTTCGTATTCGGCTTTTGCTTTTAGATCTTCACCCAACCCGGGCCGAGGAAAGGAAAACGGGCCGTTTTTTTCGGCCTTCTCCCTCCTATTATATGGGGAGAATCGAACCAGGTTTAATTTTTTGGCCCGGTTACGTCCGGGCGTGTCCATCGACCGGCGTTACGCCCCGTGACGTCACGCGACGTATATCCAGAGAAAATCTCTCATCCGATAATTTATATTATCGATAGAATTCGCAGAAGGAATTTGAAGAGTCCAAGTTCGTTTAATTCTCTTTACTCCCATCCAAAAATAGCGAATTGCCTTTCGCGATAAATTTACCTTTGTATTCGGAAATGGTTGGAATTTAAGATTTTGAAAAATATCGACTTCTCGGTAAAAAGAGGAAAAAAAATCCGTTCGGCTCGATATTTACTCGAAATAATTGGAAAATAAAGGTTTAATAATAATTAAAAGTTGCGCTAACTAAAATTATACAAATTTCATTTTCTTTCTTCGTTTATTTATTCGCGGCGTATCTAACGGAATACGTCGCCGTCTCGGGGAAAGCGGATCCGGTTAAAATACAACAACGAATCTGATATAAATATTCCGAGTTAAAACATTACCCGGTCGTTTCTCTTCATCGACAGTTTTATTTACCCGGGCGCCGCGCGATATTGTATAAAGCAGTGTTTTTCAACCTGTGGGTCGCCACCCCCAGGGGGGTGGCAAAGCCTTACGCGGGGAGTGGCCGGTAAAAGAAAAAGACAAGTGTTTGTAAGGTGTGTTTCAAATTTATACGGACACGAAAAAATTAAAGTGAAATCCAAATTTGCTGCATTAAGTGACAAATGTTTTATTAAAAATAACATGGATTTACGTGTTTCCACATTGCAAAATAAGAATTTTAATCAAACATTAATATTTTGTCACTAAAAATAATGTTTATGAAACTCTTATACAAAAAAACTGTTACATATTTATCCGGACAGGTTTCAAATTGCAAAGTTTTCTTACAATTTAATGTCCAATATAACCACCATTTAACTTAATTACATTAAATACTCGATTAGGCATTGTTTCAATTAGATTCTGAAGGAATTCAATCTTAAGTTTATCCCAAGCATCTGAAATTGCTGCCTTTAAATCATGAATTGTGGAAAACTGCTTTCCATTGGCATAAACTGTACGAACCATCATCCCCCAAAGATTTTCCATCGGATTCGAGTCAGGGCTTCTAGCGGGCCATGTCATCAGCTTAATATTTTTACGTTTAAACCACATTTTTGTTGATTTAGAGGCGTACACGGGGGCATTGTCTTGTTGAAAGATCCAATTTGGTCCAGCTTCCAATAAATGATCTTCAAGCATGCCTCGATACTTCTTTGAATTCCTTCTTTGAGTTATAAATGCTAAATCTGTGGTTCCGTTGAATCCAAACGCACCCCACACCATTATTGATCCCCCACTCATTTGGCGTTTTGAAAATATTTGTTTTTCGGTTCTTAAATCGTGCCAATAATACTTTCAACCGTCTGGACCATCTAACTTGAATTTTTTTCATCACTGAACAAAACTTCAATCCATTCTTCGGACCATGTCATGTGTTTTTGTGCCCAATCGAGTCTGTCACTTTTGTGCTTTAATGAAAGTGGTGACATTACAGCTTTTTTTCTGAATTTTAACGTTGGAGATTTATTTAAAACTGTCCACACTGTTGCGCTGCTACAAGGCAAGTCTAATTCTGGTTTTATTTTTCTTACTGATGTTTGTTTTGTGAAGCAAACCTTGATGATTTGTCTACAATCTCGAGGAGTAAGCTTGGGTTTTGGACCCGTCTTGAATTTTGGTACATCCTTGCCACGTCTTTTTGATAAATAATCACCAACAGTTGATTTTGGACGATTTATATATGCTGCAATTTCTCTTATTGTCTTGCCTTGTGATTTATAGGCATCAATCTTCCCTTTTTCATAATCAGATAAATTCTTTGTTCTACCCATTTTAGAACGTTGAACAACGTAAAGAATTTGTATTACAATTAGATATGTACGCTAATTTGCATATTTCAATGCTTGAAACTAAACAATATTCTGTTTAAGTCATAAAATGAGTGCCTGTCCGGATAAATATGTAACGGTTTTTTGTATAAGATTTTCAAAAATATTATTTTCAGTGACAAAATATTAATGTTTGATTAAAATTCTTATTTTTCAGTGTAGAAACACGTAAATCCATATTATTTTTAATAAAACATTTGTCACTTAATGCAGCAAATTTGTGTTTCACTTTAATTTTTTCGTGTCCGTATAAATTTGAAACACACCTTAGGTCCTACACTACAATAAAGAAGACTACAATTTCAGTGAGAAGGCTGTATCTGTTTATTTTACAGTACAATTGGTTTTTCAATCGATATTTAGGTCTCAACAGAAAGAAAATTAAATACGTAGTTTTTAAAATCGCTGATATAAATTTAATATGGCCCTGGGGGGTGACCAGAATTTTTTAACTCGTAAAGGGGTGGCGTATTCGAGAAGTTTGAAAAACACTGGTATAAAGTAATACGTATTACTCGAGTGAAAAGTATTTTCGTCTTTTATAACGCCATGTCGACCACTGGTCCAAATCCTTAGCCGGGTTTAGGGCCGAGGCGGGGAACAGTCGCCAAACGTAATGCGCCGTGGAAACATCGATTCGACTTCTTTAAATCCATTTTTCGCATTCTTATTCGTCTGGTCTTTAATTTTACGGATAAAAAAAAAGGAAAGTCAATTGACGAAACCGTAACGAACGATTCGCTTTTATCGGGATACTTTTTATTTATTAAAGGTTAATAATACCGAAAGACGTAAGAGTAGATTTTTTCTCGTCGTTTTTAAGGCGGGCCGTTTTATGAATTTAACGCCGGCAAGGTCGAACAGAAAATAACCACGTATTTTCCTTAACCGCCCACCGGGGTACCAAATCCACCTTTTATAAGAAAATATTTTCCCCAAAAATTTCCCGAAGAAAAACGTCCCGAGTCCGCACCGCGCGCGGAGTTCCCTAATTCGCATTTGCCCGGGCACCCGAAAAGCTGTAACTGGCCGGGTCGGGCGATAGAAACCGCGGTCTTACTAACTAAAGCTTACATTATAAACGCGAGTATTTACAATAACAAAAGCGTAAAAAAACTGGCTCGGACTAAAGTTAAAAAGGAGCGGACTTTAGGGACGACGGAGTTCGGGGTCCTCCGCGGTATTCTTTCCGGGACGTGGCAGAATATTCGTGCCAAATTTGGCCGGGAAACGTCGAACTCTTTGCCTAACACGCGTAGATACGCGTTTAGTGCGTATTTTGACTCGTACAGTACGTATGTACGGATTACCTAACCACGAGAATGTATTCGAGGGATAAAAACGCGCGGTTTCTACCGACGAAAGAGTCGAGTAGCGTATTCCAAACGTATATAAACGAATTGCCAAAGGTGGATGTCTCCGAATCGACAAATACCAATTTTACGGCTTTACATTTTATCGTCTATTTTAATTACGTTTTGTCCACGGCGACTTTTGCCGGTATCGAAGCGGGATCCCGTACAAATTACGGAATAGCGGCCCTAATTGGAACGTTTATCGACCGACGCCGGTTAGTCGGACGTCGTCCTTTTTACCGACAAAATCGATACGATTCCGCCGTTCTCCACCCCTCCGACCGCGGTCCCGGCCATCCGCCCCGGGATGCGAAAACCGCTAACCTCCGAATAACGCGTTAATTAGACGGGGGTTTCCCCACCTTTCGTCACCGGTTTGCCGCCATATTTCGGCGGTCGAACCTCCGAGGACGGACGGTGGGGTCGGGCGCCGCGTCGGTCCTCTTTCCCACCAAATTACGCACCCAACGCCATTGCGCGGTTTTAACGGGTTTCCCGGGTTTACGTTTTATAAGGGAACGTTTTTTCGGCGTGGTTAGGGCCGGGGAGTGCCTTTGTCGTTTCTTCCCGATTACGCGTTCTTTATCATTGATGAGCAAGGTAGAAAGACGTTTGTCGTACTGACTTTAAGCTCGTCTTAAAGTCCGTACGACAAACCAGCGTAAAACCAGTCGATAGGTCCGTATAGCGGTACCGAGCGGAAGTGGCGGTGACACGGGGCAAAAATGGCGGGAAACGAGCTTTCGCCTTCGGTACGTTCTCTCGGGGCTACCCGAAAAGACGTCGAATAGATGCGGAAAATCCTTCAATTTAGAAGAGTGTATAATAAAACAGCTACGCGTATAAGCGCAGTATAGTATCTTAATAATACGATAATAAAAGTTAACGTACGAAAGGTTATTTCGATTGTATAGAGCTATAGACTAAGAAAAACTTGGCTAGCGAAGCCGGCCGCCACCGCCAAGGCAAGTAGGTCACGTGATTAATAGTATTTACTGCCGCGGTTAGTTTCTTCCTTTCGCTGCCGTTGTCAAACTATTCTCCGTTTAATCTCTCCTCCCGGGAAGAGCGAAGTAACGAAAGAAGTCTTAAACCCCGCCGGGTTTCGGCCGGAAAGAAAACAATATTTTCCGAGGAACGATAAAAATTCGCATTAATTACGATTATTAACGTACTGAAACGAGGTTTTGTGGCAATTTGGCAGTAAGAGGAACCAGTTGCGTAAATAACGGGCGATTTCCCGCTGCCCGAGGCTAATTACCGAACCGGGGTTTGTTGGCGCGGCAATCGTTTATTAGATTTAAAATTGATATTTGGTAGTTTAAGCTTTACGCGGTTAGGTGGCGACTCTTCCTACGGTTAAAAATATTACGGGCGTACTACGGTGTACAGTACATACGAACTTTGTACGATAGGCTACAGGCACCATTTTTTCCGGGAATCGCCACCCGGGTTCTCGGCCTCACCCGTAATACGTCGAGCGGGTTAATTCGTTTTTCCTTATCGGATCCGCAATTTTCGCCTACTTTTCCGTTGCGCGTTTCGTTTTCCACCCGCCGAAGCCGGCATCGACGGGGCGTCCGAATTTAGCGGCCCTTCCCGTGAGAAATGCCCCGCAGTCAGACCGCGACGGGTTCGGACGGCGGGTGACGTCCGGTCCGTCCTCCTCCGTCCCGCCCTTCTGGAACCGGGCGCCTTTCCTCCCCTCCGCCGCCCGTAACGGACCGGAAAGATCCCTCTTCCACCAATTAGCGTGGCAATAAGTCGGGGCGCGTGAAATCGGATAGGATTAACAAGCGCGGGCCCGGAGATTCGCATTGTTAGGAATTAGCCAATTAGACTCCTCCTCCTTTCCGATCCATTGGCCACCGGCGGAATCGATCCCGGCCACCGCGTTATCTATTCGTTGCCCGTTCCCTCCGCGGAATACCAACGCCTCGAAAGTAAGAGTCCGGCGGGGGCCTCCGTTTTATCGCTTCGTCTCCCCCCGGCGGTCGGCGGTCCACTCCGTCCGTAAATTAATTGCCGCTTAATTACGGCCCGACGGAAGCGTGGAGGGGGACCGCGCGTCTTTATTTATCGCTACCGGCGAAAGATTTCCCTCCCGATTTCCCGAGGAGAAAAAGAGGGGGACTACGGTCGGGCCCATTCGGACGCGACGTCACCCGTCCGCGTCACGCTTTGGAAACCGCGTATTTTTAGGCTAAGAGAAGTCGACCGTACGACCGATCGGAACCCATTTTAGGGATTCTCACGGAATACGAAAATGATTCGGTCGGTAACGATAATCCGTAAAATACGAGTCGTTTTAGAGAAATAAAAAGCGGAAGCGGTGGGACAATCCTTACTCTCGCCTGGGAGTCGTTGTCACGGACGCGCCGGGGGTTTTAGCGTAATCCGACGTCGCCATTTTTAAGTCCGGGTATTCAAAAAGTAACCCGTACATTAGGCGGAAGGAATGTTATCGTTCTTCCAAATAGATTATTATTTTCTACGCGTAAAGAATACGGCAACGAGTAATTAAATTCCTAGATACCAACGATTCCCACCCCCACATTTCTTAATAATAACTCGATTGATCTTTACGTCAATGGTAAGCGCCGAGTTAGAATTTTCGTAACCGGGGTTATTCGATTTCTCCCATCCGCCTCCGATAAACGGGCCGGGGTTTATACGCCTCGGGTTTAAGTAAACGGAATACGGTTACGTACACGAAACGCTATTTTCGTTAATTAATAATAGTAATATAAACGTTAAAGTAAACGGCACGTGTCCGGCGAGAACCTCCCGAGTTGCCAGATAGGTTTTATAGAAAGTAAAACGGAATTCCTGGAAATGGCACCCAAATTATTTTAAAAGCTGTAAGTCTCCCAAATTTAGTATGGCGGAGCCCTACAAATATCTCGATTTGCTACCGGTAGCCCCATCTGGCCATCCCCAAAACCAGCCGTATTTTACGAGATAAGGGGGAAAGAAAATTCGTATCGACCGGATTAGAGTCGTTCTCGGTCTATCCTTCCCTTATAGGGCGGAGGCACTT